AGATGTAACGTGAAGAATGTTGGTGCTGTCCAACAACAACAAACTCCTCTCTCTCTGTGAGATATAACGTGAAGAATGTTGGTGCTGTCCAACAACAACAAACTCCTCTCTCTGTGTGAGATATAACGTGAAGAATGTTTAGGATGATGGACTTCGTTCATTTCTTACTTGCACTTTTCAATGATTCAGAATATTCCCAAAACACTCGATAGTTCTGCCATGTTAAAAATATCAATAACATAAAGCTTGTACTTACCCTTATCGACAGCAATGCGATGACAAGAGCCATGACGTCAGAGAGCATGTGAAAGGAATCTGCTACCAAAGCTGTAGAATTTGTAATGTAGCCTATTATAATTTCTACTAGAAAATAGCTACTAGTTAAGACAAACATGCCAATCAATCGGTAAGTTTGCTCGCGCAACTTCTCATTTTGTCTGCTTGTTTTTAATAAGTCCATATAAGTAAGAAATAAAAGGACTTACTAGGTGGATTTTAAGTGGGAGATAGTGACTAATTTATGACTTATAAAATGGACGTTTTTTAAAGTTTACAGTAACGTATTTTTTTTCTTCTTCTTTTTATTTAAAGTAACATACAAAGTTGTTGTTGTTTGTTCTAAACGATTCGTCAAATATCCAGTTACTGGAAGTCTCTCAAATGAAGACTTCGTCAGAAATGTAATATCGATGAATATAACGTCACACTGACGTGAAACAAACCTGTGAAAGAAAGAAACGGAACTACCTTTTTATCAGGAACGTAAAACAACAGTTCTCCGTCTAACGTATACACGCTTTTATTTTATGTACTTTATCACCATATTATTTTATAGTTATGGTATGAACGACTATTCCAAGCTGGCGAAACAGCCCGGGTCGCGGGTTCGAATCCCCATTCCACCAAACATGCTCGCCCTTTCAGCCGTGGGGGCGTTATAATGTGACGGTCAATCCCACTATTCGGTGGTAAAAGAGTAGCCTAAGAGTTGGCGGTGGGTGGTGATGATTAGCTGCCTTCCCACTAGTCTTACACTGCTAAATTAGGGACGGCTAGCGCAGATAGCCCTCGTGTAGCTTTGCGCGAAATTCAAAAACAAACAAACCCGTCAAAAAACCACCCCCACCCCTTAGTATACACTAACCTCACATTTCATAGCTACCGTATTTTTCGGTGTATAAGACGCACTTTTTACCCCAAAATTTTATGTCAAAATCTGCTTGCATCCTATACACCGAAGGTATGAATAATAGGCTCACTAATTAGCCGTGGGGATATCCCCCCCCCCAAAAAAAAACGGCTGCTAAAGTGAGCGCTTTTCTACATTTGTCATTTCTATAAGAAGTGTCAAAGGGGAAATATTTAATTTAGTTTATTCGACACGGTACAATAAAGTCATGCATCATATAATACTGACATGAAATGTATAAACATAACATGCAAATACGGGGGAAAGAATTACAAGTTCAACAGAAAGTAGGGATCGTTGGTTATTTGTGGAATTTCTATAAGACGTATCTAAAACAAAATAAATGCTACAATAAAGAGCACACAAACAAGTGATACTAGTTGGATAGATTTTAAAATGATTTTCGTTCTCTACCTTGCGTTGACATCGTGATACGTATAGCTAGATAAGGAATGGGCTATCTGTGCTCTGTCAACCAAGGGTATCGAAACCCGGTTTCTAGCGTTGTAAGTCCGCAGACATACCGCTGTGCCACTAAAGGGGGGGGGGGTAAATATAATGGGCCTAATGTGGTAATATCTTGTGACAAGCGTAATTAATTGTTACTTACATTGTTAAAATTCAGTTATATATAAGCGTTTTTACGATATTGTTTAGGTACAAATTGCAGCCAAGTTAAAATCAGATATGTCTGTTTAAATTAAATAAATACTAATTACAATGAAGCAATCCTTATTTTAAACAGCGTACTGTTTTCACAAGAGATTGAAATACTATTATGCACGAATCTTAATCTTGAAAACTAAGGAATTAAATAAAGAATACAGTGCTAAAAAAATGTAATAAACCTGATTCTAATGTCTAATATAATAAGTATATAATAAGCGTAAACACTATCAGTCTAGGGAATAATATAACAATGGTATATATAACTGAAAGGAATATTAATAATAGCTGGTGAATAATAAACATACACTAGGGTGCGGTAATTTCATTTGACGTGTAAGAACAGCATCTTATAAAATGGATTACACGATGGCTTTGACTAAAATATTAATAAAAAGCTCCACTTATCATTGCTATTTAAAGATACGATTCGTTGATACTTTTAATACCTTATATAGATATTTATTGGAAAAATTCATCCCTATGACTGACACATTTATTTTTGAGGCGTGCAGAAATTGAGATACATGTTGTTGTTTAAACTACTTATGGGCGTTGAAAAAACTTTTATTGTTACCATTAATAATTTTCCGGCCTACATTTAACATCATAAAAATTATACTATTAAGTATAGGCCTATAGCTAAGATTTTCAGGGGGGGGGGGCTGTTTATGTTTATTCAAGCCACAAACAAGTGGTGTATGGAAGTCTTCCCTAGGCAAATAAAAAGAAAAAAAACATTTAAAATTGAAAGGTTTCGAGTATCTGTAGCCACAGAGAATATATTTTTAAACAGAATAAAACATTCTTAGAGAACTTTTTCCAACACACATTACACAACTGGAAACTTAAAAGTACGTTTATATGCGAAGCTATAGAATAGTTTATTTACACTATGTCCACGTGAATCCTACCCCGGATTTTAACATTGTGATTCCATACTTATTATTGACCTACTTGGGGACATTAGAAAAGGATAAGGTCTTAAAGTGTTTGAATCACTGGACGCCTCCACCGTACCCCACCTGCTACAGTTTTGTATATATGTAGGCCTATCTAGCATTTTAATTTTTATTTCGGGCAAAATTATAAATACAATTGTTAATTAGTTATTATACTTGAATTCGTGTAATTCTGATTGCATCATTATTACTTAAAACATTAAAACAGCCACCTAACGTTTTGTGGTAGGCTTAGGCCTAAAACGTAAGTTGTATATTGTTCATCATATCTTTCAGTTTTAACACTAGCACCTAATTTATTAATTAAAGTCTAGTATTTTATCATTAAATTTGTTAGAAAAGGGGATATTGTATTATACTGAACATGGCATTATCATCCTAAAGTTAAGTTTTGGTTTAAAAAAGCTAGGCCGAACTGAGTAGAGCTATAGGGTTACCTAATAAACAGCGGACATAAATAAACTAACTTTAACAGTTTTGATAGGAAAGATAATTATGTGCGTATTAAAATTAATGGCTATGAAGTAACATTCGAAAAACATATTTCGTTTTCAATTTTCACAATGTTTTATATTAGTTCGATTCCTTTAAAAAATTTGATTAATCTATAAGCCTAGCTGCTGACACATAATGGCAAAAATAATATGGTTGCTAAGAGTAAGAGCCAGGAAGCAAGAAATATTCAGCTTACATTAAAGTAAGCCTAATGTTGAATGAACTAATCTTTTACCGAGTGGTTGTTTTTGACTTAACCGTTACATTTAAAGGCTTCTGACGTTAATAACATAGGAAAATAAACAACTAATCTACAATAACCGAAAGCTTGTTATAAAAATAAATAATTTAGTCATTACCTGTTATAACAAAACTATTTCGAGCTTGAGACGAGCTTCGGATTCTTCAACGGTTGCTTTACAGATAGGCCAAGATTAGTGTTATAGGATAATTTTATCTTGATGTCTATTGTTACTGTACTTCCGGTAACGCTTGCGCACTCATGTAAGTGGAAACCGCGCAATGAGCTGTACCAATAGTAAATGTTACAGTACGTTACCGTAAACTACTGCCTAAAACTTGTAGAAACTATAAAATTAACTTGGATTGAATACAATGAATCTGTGCTACAACTTATTATATAAAACTCTGGACAGTACGTGATCCTGTGATCAGTATGAATTTGAATTTTCGGCCTCCATTGATATACGAGTATTTTACCTCAAAGTACTTTAAATTTGCAATAATAAGTTTAAAGTTTTCATTGGGAAATATTTTAGGATCTTTTTATATTACTACACTCGTTGATCGAGAATTTCATAAGGGAATAGATTCGTACATTACAAGAACAGGCAATTTTTTCCGAAAAAAACTCCTCGCAGGATGATGCGAGGGGTGGAGGTGGTTAAGGTCTAGCCAACCCTTTATCTAAGTAATTTTTTGGATTATCCATTCGTTTTTTATAGAACATTTTCCGAGAAAGCATGCCCCAAATCCCATCAACTAGTCATTCCCATAAATAAAATCCTTGGCCAGCCTTTGCTAATTCATATTGTAATAATTTGCGCCTCAAATGTGTTCTTATATTCTGATCAGGTTTTACATGTACGATACTTAACATGGTGTGAGCGAAGACTGCGCATGCGCCATCGAAAAAAAATCTTAATAATAGTTATTCGAAGGTATAATTAATAAAAGTTTTAACAATAGCGACTGGGTTTGTGGTTGTTGGCACTTTTAAATAGTGAACAAGCCTTTAACGTTTTTTTAGGTTTACCCTAACTTTGTGGAAACATTTTTATCATATCATTGTGTTTCTGTAAGAATTAAAGATTTTAAATATAAGATCATAATAAACTCGTGAATAACACTGGACAACGGAAATCGAAAGCATAAGACTAGGCTTTATAGAGTTTAGCCATAAAACTCTGATTCATTAGTTTAAACAAGAGCACACGTCAGTTGTACTAATTATTTCCGAGTTAAAGAATGGTTATTTTAGAGCAAAGCTGAGTTATTTCTATCCCGGGAAATTGAATCCAGATTTTTAGCGTTGTAAATACGTAAACTTACAGCTGTCTCACTGGGGATATTAAAGAAAGAAATGGTTATCAACAGCTAGGCTTACAACAGAACCAGATTCGTGAATGTCAGTCTCTCATATTATAGTCCCCCGGTGGGACAGCGGTACGTCTTCGGACTTACAACGCTAAATTCAAGGGTTCGATTCCTTTCGGTGGACACAGCAGATGGCCCGATGTGGCTTTGCTATAAGAATACACACACACGCATATTATACGAATTACTGAAGTTTCATAAAATGGATATTCCATTCAGACCAATAGTATCTAATATTGGCTCATTTAATCCCAAATAAGCAAGATTTTGTAATTCCATTTCTCAAAAATCTCCCCCACGATGGCTCAGCGGTAAGTAAGTGGATTTATAAAGCTAAAAATTGGGTTTCGATACTTGTCCATTCAGTAGCTTTATGCTCTACAACAAAAACGTTTTCATAAGTTTTGTAAAAACAACAAAAGGTTGTACAGTTAAAAACTTAAAGTTCGTGGTAATACAATATTTTATGCAAGCTTTGATATAACATGTTTAAATACAAATATTTCACTTAATAGTAACATGAAAATCATTTTGCACTCGGACAAAGGTTTAGTAAAAATACTTAGTTAAAAAATTCAAATTTTTTTGTCTACAAAACACTTAATGGTTACTGAAAGCTTGCCAAATTTTATGAGGATTAAGTACTTTCAGAATCACATTTATAACACCATGGTTACAATGTCGTGTAAAATACACGAGTACGTTGCGATAGTGTTAATAATTTTCATTAGAACTGTACGTTAGTTAATCCTAATATACAGGCTGTTTAATAATATTCATTAAGTAATGGTACAATTAAATAAAATATAAATAGTACTGATAATAAAAGAGATTTTGAAATGCGAATTTTTTTTTTTTAATGTATCTAAGTTTTAGCACGAGTAAACTACAGCCTGCGGTAGATACTTGTAATATTACCTAGTTTGGACAGTTGATTAAAGCGAAAACGACCGTGTTTATAACGTTATAAGCTTTCAAAGTTACTGCCGAACCGCTGAGGAGCATACAATTATAATTTATATGTATTTAGACACCGTATTTATTCCATAAGTCATCAATCCACTGTAAACACCCGAAGGGTCTTTCAAACATTACATTATGTTAAATACTACATTCCCTAGTTTGAAATATAAGGTTGTTTGTTTTTCCTGAAAAAACAGAGGACAAAGATAATATATCCGACTTTGAAATTGGTTCGAGAAATTGCCATGACATTGTTACGACAGCGGAAGTCGCGTGATTCTAGGGGCATGTGCGCTGGAGTTTCTAGAATTATCGGGGAACCCCGCGAATCTCTGAGTATTTGCTAGACGCCCTCTTTTTTTAGTATATAAGCCTGGCAAAGAAAGCCGGCGATGTAGGCAGATAGATCGAAGAGATAGATAGATAATTAAGTCAAGCACCGTAAGTAAAGTGTGTGAATCACTGATTTATAGCGTGTGTTATAAAAGTTGTTAAGTGTATCACAAAGTTTGTATCAAGAAAGAATAAACTAGTTTTAATCAAGAAGGGACTTGTATCGTTGAAGTCACTCGGAAATAATTTTACCGGAAATTATCAAACAAGCAGATATGCAACAACATGTTCATGTTCTGTCATATTTGTTAAGAAATGAGATAAATATATTCTATAAAATAGGATTTTGTTGCTTCTTGTGACGGTTGTAACAATATTATGAACAACATCAAGCCAAAGTTTTCAGTATCGTGATGACGTTCTAAATATCTTGATTTTCACATTAAAACGGACAAAATAATATGTTTATACTCGTAGACCTGTTATTATATTAACTTAAGAGACGAAAGATCGAATAAAGATGTTTACTGGCTTGACTCCAGATCATCGAAAATCAATCACTTTACCAGCTGAGTTGTTTATCGCATTCCTGAACTGACTGGCATCTGGAACCAACTGATGATTTTTTGGACGTACTTTAGCAGTTTCTTAAAAGCTTCTTTTAGTTGCCACGGTTACATAACAAGATAAAAAGGATTCTAAAGAGCCTCGGTTTGGTTGTGAAAAATGTCTTACGAATAGAAAACCTCCTATAATATTCTTTAACTGACGTCATCACTGAGTATAACGAAACACACCAATCATCGTATTATATTTCGAACAATTATATTACACTGTTCAACAATATATGTTGTTTTAAAGTACCATATTATTCACTAAGTTACTGCTTTTTAGACAACGTAATTAATTCTTGAAACCGTGATATTACGCTGTATACTACGAAGTTGTTTTAAAGTACCATTTTTGCTCAATAACGTAAAACTTTTTAAGCAAAATAGTTAATTCTAATGCACCATTTTGATAACGAACTATCGTCGAGATATTTCTCTAAAACCTAATATGTGAAAGACATTCAGTAGTGAAATAAGCATTGAAATACACAAGCGATATAAATACAGGAGCCCCCCCCCCCCAGTGGCACAGCGGTATGTCTGCGGATTTACAACGCTAGAATCCGGGTTTCGATACTCGTGGTGGGCAGAGCACAGATAGCCCATTGTGTAGCTTTGAGCTTAATTACAAACAAACTGTTCAATGTAGAATTATGAGCAGTGTTTCGCCACCAGGTTTTAGTTCTAGCAGTCGTAGCTGCCAATGCCGATAGAGGGCATTTTTCTTTCCTTGCCTGGACAACCTTTTTTACAGATAAATGAGGATTTATACACATTTATATATTACAACGTAAATATTAATAGCCTCTTTGAAACACTCATCACGCTACAAATATATATATATATATACACAAATCAGAATTTTTATTTATTTTATTATACTTTTGGCGTTGTTCCAAAATATGTAGAACATAGATGTTCTGGAAATGTTGCCTACAGTAATTCCTTGACAGATAAAAAAAAACAAAATTAAAACATCAGTAAGAGCCATTGATAGATAAAAGATTAAATTTATGGTTCAACGTGACTATTTTCTTTTATACATGGGCACTCTGAGGGTCGCAGGTTCGAATCCCCGTGCCATCAAACATACTCGCCCTTTCAGCCGTGGGGGCGTTTTAATGTGACGGTCAATCCCACTATTCGTTGATAAAAGAGTAGCCCAAGACTTGAC